CTTCCCCACATATGCCTCCCGAATCACCCTCCGTGCCCCAAGCAACTTCATCTCCATCCGGGGAAAGCAGGCAGACCCACATGGAGAGTGAGGGAAAGGGGCGAACAGGGGGAGAACTCAGTGCTGAATTGAGGGTGCAGGGGACAGAACCCTGGCTGAGGGCTGGGGGGCGAGCTGGATCCAGGGCTGAATCAGAGGGCAGGGGGTGAGGAGGAGACCAGGCCTGGACCTGGTTAGGAGGGAAGAGGAGCTGAGTCCAGATGTCAGCAAGGCTGCAAGGACCACGCCACCCAGGAGACACAGGGGAGTTGAGCAGGAAGGTCAGGAGTTCAGCGCAGACTGGGAGGGAAGCTCTGGAGAGGGCATGGTGTCCTTGTGGTCATCCTGGTAGAAAGCTCTCTCTGGCCTTCGTCAATACCGGGAACCTTGGCTGGCCGCCAGCCTCCTCTGCTGAGCCATTGCGCCAATAAATAGTTGTTGGCAGATCAATTAAACCATCTAGGAACTACGTCTGGAAATACAATTTCCCCGGCTCGATGCAGGCAGACAAGTCTCTCTGCCAGTTAGGACCGAGATCCTACGGTTCCCACTCTCCACCCTCAGAAAGTCAGCCCAGGACACCAGCACCTGCTCTGCGGGATCAGGCCCTGTGCAGTGGGCAGAATGGAGAGGGCTGGCCCAGGCCACAGGGCCGGGCACAGGAGCGGTTATGACCCGGGTTTAAGTGCAGCTCTGCCACTTGCTAGCTGTGTGGCTTTGGGCAAATTCTTCACCTTCCAAGAATCAGTTTCCTTTTATAAAATGGGGATGATAACAGTCACCTTGCCTCTAGGTTTATTGTGTCACACACACACACACGCACACACACGCACACTGAATAAAATGAGTGCAACACGTGCCCAAGGTACAGAGCATGGGTGGCATCTTTTAAAAGATATAATTACTATGACCCCCAAATCAAAGCTGCTCAGGACTCCATGCCTGCTTGTCTCTGCCTGTGGCCCCTCTCCACTTCCTGTGTCACTCACATACCACTCACCACCCAAGAACTCCAAGACAGGAGACAAAGCCGGTCTGTCAGCGCTCCTGGCAGCCAGCATGGAGAAGGAGCCAGGATCATGAGCCCAGGAGCAATTCCTGAAACCAGCCCAGAGCTGATTCCAAAGGCCTGGCCCATCCCAGGGGCCAAACCTCGCAGCAGTTGGGACATTTTCAGCGACATTATCCCGTTAGCAATCAAAGCATGCCTGATTCCCGGCCACTGCTGGGCCGCCTTCATGCAGCTAGCTGTTTGGAACACCCAGAGGAGCTCTGTGCTGAGCGAAGAGCTTTTGTGCTGGGAGGGAGGGGGAGACGCAGGGGCAGCGTCTCAGGACCTCCCCGAAACTCACAGCTAGAGGAAGGGTCCCGCCCTTTGCTGCACCGGGATGGGGGAAGCACCTTCTTCTGTCCGTTCTCTTTCTGCCTTGTCTGCAGACAGTTCCACAAGGGACCCATTGGACCAGTCTGCCCATGTGCGTCCTGCTTCCCCCAGTTACTAGCTGTGTGACCTTGAGCAGCTTACTCAAGCTCTCTGTGCCTCAATTCTTCACCATAAAATAAAGATGATAACACAGAGATTAGCTCACAGAGTCGTTACAAGGATGGAGTTAGGATTTGTAAAGTGCTTAGAATACAGTCCAGCACAGACTAAGCACTACATTAGTTTTTGCTGTTATTGTATAAGTATCAGTTATTGCTGTTGTTATTATTTGGGCCCCGGGCCCCGTCACCTGGAGACGGCTTGCCCATTTGCCTGGGCGCGCATCCCCATCGTGTCTCAGCTCACTCAGGTAGCAGAGGCCCCAGGAGGCCTGCAGCTCTTTAGAGCAAACCCCAGATGCTGAGCGGTTCGCTCCAGGGCATAGCTGAAGAACTGCATTTGCAACGGAAAGAGCACTTCCGGAGCTCTTCCCTCAACAAACACATGCTTCAGAGTCAAATGCAGTTAGCACTTTCTAAGTCGTGCTTTTACAATCATAAATATTCAAAATTTGAGAAAATGGTATAGCTTACTTTAATCACATTAGAGGAGAAGCCTCTATTAAGGCCATTTCTGTTTTAATCCATAAGTGAACCCCAGGACCCGGCCCAGCTCACTTAGTTAATCAAAGCAGTGAGCACCAATCGCCGTGCGCCTGCTCTGTGCTGGGCGAGCTTTGTCGTACCGGTTTTACAAAGGAGAACAATGGGTTCAGAGAGAGGAGGTAATCATTGTCCATGGCCACCTGGTGGGTGCTAGGGACTGTGAGGGCCCTGGGCAGAGTTCTGCCCCATGATCTTGTGGGGAAAGAACCCCAGAGAGCAGCCCCACCTTTCTGCTCTGGAGCCTGTCTCTAAGTGCGGCCACATCCCAGGAGGGTCTGAGTTTGGGGACCCGCCATCATCCCACGACCACTGTGGGCTCGGAATTCTCATGCACAGAATCCCACCTTGGGTCCCCTTCCCTGCCCAGAGACTCCCTAGGGCCAAACCCTTCCCAGTGCCCAGGGACCCATCACAGAGTCCCTTCCCTCGTAGTTCCTGCCAGACTTCACTGCAGCCTGTGCTATGGCCCATCCTATACTCAGGTCTTGTCCCACTGACCATGGGCCTTTAGAAGCCCAGAGAAGCTGAGCTCCCCATTTCTGCAGGCCTACCCTGTCTGAGACAGAGAACATGACTCCTATCGGGGGAGCAGGCCAGTGGCACAGGAGACAAGGCAATCCTGTCACCGAATGGGAGATGCCATAGGCTCACATCCCATGACATCCTGGACTCCCCTGGAGTCCTGGATGAGCATTCCAGCTTCAACCACCCTGAAAAAAACCACTGCCAGTGCGGAGGACGGAACACTCCAAATTTCAGTCTCAAGTTCCTTTAGCCACCTGAAGGGTCCAGGAGTTCAAAATGCCCCAAACACAACTGTTCTTTCCCCACCCCCAGCAGCTCACCCAGGACGACGCCATGGCTAGATTGCTCCAATCCTATCATGCGTGGGAGAGCCCCTGGCTGCAACCTTGCTAGCACCTTAGCTTTGAACCTGAAAACCAAGCACCAGATGATACCCAAGTGTGAATCAATGCCCGGGAGGAAGCCCACCCCGGGGCCCAGCTGTTGGCTCAGGTAGCTCCCACAGGGTATCAATGTCAGCCTTTAATCCCAGCTACCGTATTATTGGTGCCCCCACCCCAGATCTCACAGTAGCTATGAAAAGGATCTGATACTGTCCCAATTTACAGATGAGTAAAATGAGTCACAAGGCATTAGTGTGACTGACTCGCCAAAGACACAAAAGCACTGAGCGTTAAGGATGCAGTTGGAAATAAGGCAGATCAGACTCAAGAGCCATACACTAAGCCCACCTGTCTAGTCCAGGGATCAATTCTGTCAAGTAAATGTTCCGATTCTGATTTTAAACGAGTGTTGTTGGTGTTGGGTTTCTCAGCACTGAGGTTTTCCTGGTCACCATGTCCAGACATTCTCCACAGGCACTGGGATGACTAAACTAGCCTTCCTAGAACAGACTCATCTGCTCCTAGATTTAACCAGTTTAATCAGAGCAACCAGAACAATACTGTGCCATTCGATGGCGATCTTAGTCCAGAAACTAGAAAATAAAATATGAGCAAGAATGTCACCAATTATACCAGAGAGCTGAGCATACCAGCCATGTCTGTTGGCCTGCCACCCTTGAAAAGCCAACCCACCCTGCATGTAAGTATAAATCTTACTTGAGTAAAATCTTGTTCTTGACTTTTCTTAGTGTTACTCTCAGTCCTTCAACTTATGGGGGAAGCATGAAAAAAAAAGTGGGCTTCAGAGACTGACACACCCGGGGAGACCTGATACTAGCTCTCTGTAGCCCCACTCTTCAGTTTTCTCAACTCTAAAATGGGGACAATTATGGCTCTCGTTTAAAACGAATAAACTGAAAGGATGGCTTTCAGCACCCACCTCTGGGAGCTTTATCAGGGGTGTGAGCTTTTAGGGGCGTGGCAGGACCTCTGTTTGGACAAGGAGTGTGTGAGCCCACAAGGTCCTGCCATTGTTATGGGATAGACATCCATGTGCCCCTCTGTCCAGAGGCCACCCTGCCTCCAGGAGTGACTCCATCCTAAAACCAGTAACCGCTTCTGTCATTGCTGCCTCGCAGGAGGACTGTGTATGTTCAGTGCAGGGAGACCTTAGAACTGTTAGGGGTCAAACCCAGCAGCCTACGGGCTTGTCTGCAGCCTGCAAGGGTGTTTCGTTGGCTCACGTGCTGATTTCAGCAGCGACCAACTTTAAAATTGGGATAGCTCACACAAAATCTAGATTTCTGGGTCCCCTTAAAAAAACCCCCAGAAGATTCCCCAACGTGCAGCTCTCATTCCCATCGAGGCGATGATCAGCCAGAGAGGAGAGGCAGCTGCCCCCTGTAACAGACAAGTCACTAAGAAGGGCCAGAAGTGGGGTGTTTAGCCCCTCACATGGTCGGTGGTCAATAAATGATAGCTGTGATCATTACTTATTATTTATCAGTAACTTCCAAGCACGGCACTTACATACAGGGACTGTGCCTTCTACTGGCCACTGTCCTTGTGCTGTGAGCAGGAGGCTGGGCACACAGGGGACCTCATTTTGCATAACCTTTATACGGGCGGGAGGATCCAAAGTCAGCACCCACACTCAAAGCCCTTACTAGGTGCCAGTCACTCTTGTAATTACTCACACATAGTATTATCTCATTTGATCTTCGACGCAGCCCCGGCCATAATCACTAACATTGGGGAAACCGAGGCACGGCGCAAGGTCACTAAGCCAGCAAAGAGGAGTTAAGAAGCAAACCCAAGAGCGTGTCCCCAGAGTCCACCTTCTCATCACACACTATGCACGGCAGGGGGGCACCCCAAGTGCCGATGGAGGGGGGCAGGGCCTCACCTGCGTCCAGCCTCCCTCGCCGACCCCCCGGGAGCCAGGCAGACTCCGGATGCACTTACGGTCAAGGCCGTTGATGTAGCGCATGGTGACTTCACAGTGGCCCCACACGGCACTCACCACCGGGTACAGCTTCTTGCCCTTGAGGCCCCGGAAGGCCACGCCCAGGTACTGGCCGTCCACGACGAAGCTGAGCGTGCCCTCGTCCATGTCCAGCACCACGAGCAGCGAGTCCGGCAACGCGAAGGCCTCCTCGGGCTCCAGGAAGGCCGGGTAGGCCACGCCGGGCCGGTTCTTGCCATCGTGGTA